ATATCATCACCCTAGGTGAAAAACCAATATTTCTTGTTATAACACATTATGATAACTTATAGTTTTAGCATATTTATGTCATTGCTATCACCATGGTAATGCTGTGTAACAAACAACTCCAAACCTTAGTGATGTTCAATAGTAAGCGTGTCCTCTTGTTCACTTGCCAGTGGGATAGTTGGGGCACAGCTGATCTAGGCTGGATTAAGTTGATCTGCTCCACCAACCTCTCTGGACCAGCATCCACACGAAGCCTGTTCTTCTCATGTTTCTCCTCCAAAGACAGGATTGCAATATTTCAAGCCTAAATGTCATGTTTACTATTTTTGCATTGACCAAGCCAAGTTATATGCTCAGATCCCTCATCACTGAGACAAGGAAAAAGCATCACGCCTTGGTGGAAGAACTGTGAAATCCTGCAGCAAAAAGTATAGATGGAAGGAGAGCTGAAGACTTGGGAAAAACAATGGGGAATAAAAAATATTGTGTAGATACTCCACTGATATGGGCCATGACTATTTGTTTGCTACCTCAAAATACCTTGCAAACTCCTCAACTTAGGCAAATCTGAGTTTGAGAAATACACAAGTTTGCTGCCTCCTGGGTAAGGGGACTTTGGCACAACCTGTGATGCTGATAACCAAGCTTCTAAAGACAAGGAACCGTACCCTGAATTTCACTGATGCACATTTTCTCATATTCTAACTTCTTGGAAAGAAGGATGCCCCTTAGAGCCTGGGATGTTTTACAGTTAATGATGGTCATGATAAGGTTTCACCCCAGTACACGGGCATGCTTGGTGCATGCTCGTCATCCCACATGTGTTGACCAGACAGCTGCAACCCCTTGACTTTCAACCAACCAAACAACAAGGGACCATCTGAGGAGCAGGTGTGTGTTTCCTCAATGTTGTCTGGAAACTTTTGTTGGCAACAAAGAAGGAGCCAGCTTCAAACCTTTCAGAGAGGGTGTCACAGGCTTGGAAGAAGAGTCCGGAATGGAGAGGGAAGTGCTCCTGAAGGACTGCCTCGACACCGCTGCTCTTGAGAGCACAGGAAGAGAACTCTGGAAAAACATATCTAGGATTCTGTATTGAAAAGTGATTCGGAAGTACTGGACTCTTAATGTGAGGAAGTTGGAAGAAAATGCAACCAATTTATCTCCTTTTTATCTATGCTCTAGAGCAAGATGTGATTTAAGGAATTATTTAAATAAATCCAAAGTAACAATTTCAATAAATATGCAATGAAAATCCTAAATGAGAGGAAAACAGGTTCAGTTTCCCCTTACAGAGCTCCCTCTTACTTAGTGGTTCACTCAAAGGGAAGGAGAATCAGGTAGCATGCTTTTCTTGCAAATAGTGGAGACTCAAACTAAAACTGACTAAACAATGAGGAAATTGTTGGCTCATCAATTGAAAGATTCTAGAGGTTGTGACACTTTACAGTTAACTTACACCATCAGCTCAGTGATGTCAGAACTCTCCACCTCTCCATCCTTGCGGCTGAGGGAGACGTGTCCTACTTACTTCTGTCAATCAACACCTTCCTGTGGGGCTGAGGGTGGGTCCATCCTGCTGAGACACCAAGGCTTCTGCATAAACAATGGGTGGATGGTCAGGACCACGGATAAGGAGAAGAGGCAGCAATTCCCACCTTGCAGGGACGCATGAACCGAGAATCAGGGGTTGAGGAAAAGCATGTGATGGTTATGATGGTGTCTTAGGGCTTCTTGCCTTGGTTTTGAGGCACTGATAGGGTCAAGACAAGGAAAGTTGAGGGGTATTTCTTTCCTTGCCCTCAGATGGGTGAGACAGAAATGTGAGAAGTGGAGACAGACATTCAAGAATTTGGGAGGCACAGTCTACAGCCTTAAGGATTTCAGTGTTTCTGCAAATGTACCTGAAACCAGCATGCTGGGCTAAGGAAGTATTTTCCAGGTGCTGGCCCAGTCTGTAATTTCACAAAAGAAAAATCCCCTCTCATTCTCCAAGTCAAAAGATTATTTATTTTTTCCCCAAGAGAGTAGTGCAAGCTGATTTGTTTAAAAAAAAGTGGCTAAAAGTCAAGTGCTAAGAAGTTTCTGATGGCTGCCTGCTTGGCTCTGATTAGCACAGAGAGGCCTTGCTCCTGGGGCTTGCTGGAAGGAGAGTCTGGAACCTTACAAATTGGGCTGACGACGTCATTCCCCAAGTCCTGCAGGTGACTGCTGAGTTATATGCACCAATTGGCCTGGGTTTTGGTACGATCTATCATTCTTCCACAAGAGGGAAATTTTGTGGGAGATGGTTATGTTAAATATAACTTGGAAATAAAGAAATCCCATGCTACTCACTTCTGGTGGTCCCATCGGAAATGTATCATAGCAAAGAACACAGGCCATGTGCTGTAACATCCTTTCACTGAGTTCCCTTGCTCACTCTTTCTCAATCTTTCTCTCTTTGTCTCTCGCTCTCTCTCTCAAGTAATAAAACGTGATCAGTGAGGACACTGAGCTTGGATGAATTATATGCAGAATTGTTTTACAGACAATGAATTTTTCCATGATATTGTAATCCCGTCTCTCCTTTATCATTGCCTTTTTGTCTGAATTAATACAACACTATTACCAAAGCCATCCTCCACTGCACAACTGTTGGCCTTCACATTCGAGGCAACAAAGTCATTTCCAGATGAAGCTACTTGTCCCTGTGAAAACGGACACGGCAGTTGGTACTTTCAGACTCAATTATGAAGTTGCAGGGGTGGTCCCGCTCACCCCGTGGGGGTCTCTGGAGCTGGCAGGGCCCTTCAGTGCTTCACTGGTCTGAGCCAAGATGAGCCAAGACCTTTGAACTCTGCTCTGGTTGGTTATGGGCTGTGGGCTGTCCTGGGAAAGGTGAGGTGGCTCCTTGCCCCCGAGGCAGCCCCTGCAGGAGATTGCTGGTTGAAGGCTGTCTGCTGACAGCTCTGCTGGGGTCCAGGTGCTAGATTCTAGGGCCACCGTCCTCAATCGGGTGATTTTGGCCCTGAGGAGACATGTGACAATGTTGGGGAATGTTTTTGATTGTCATAACACGCTGCTACCAAGTAGAGAGAGTGCAGGGAGGCCATTAAACATCTCACAATGCACAAGGCAGCCCCCCAGACAGAATTACCTGGCCCCAAATATCAATAGTGCCAAGGTCAGGAGACCCTGCTCTGGGGCAACAGACTCCCCTTGAAGCAGAGGCTGGTGGGCATTGCAGTACCCACCACAGGAATCAGCCCTGATGCAGACACTGCTGGTCAGTTAAATAAACTTCTCAAATGGTGAAGGGGAAGGACACCCAGGTGGGATTTAAAGTGGACTTGCTTGTCGAAAACACTGTGGTATCTTCTAGCTTTCGCTTAACAGGTCAATGCAGAATTTCTCAAACTTTTCTCTTTGTCTACCCCGAATGCAAGATGCATATTTACACGTTCAGTTTGCCTCCATGGAATTCCTGGGGCACGAGCTGCAAACTCCCCTCTCTCTACCTCATTTAAAAGGCACAATGAAACATGAATGGGCAGTCCTCTCTAATTTGTCTTTCTAAGCAAGCCGTTCCTGAACTTCCAGCCCTTACTGTTAGCAACAAATTGCTTACACTCAGCGTGCAGTGATTTCCACACTCAGACTACAGCCTGTTGATCACCTTGGTGAATGCCTGTAAAAAGATGACAGTATTTTCAGGAAGATTTTCCCCGTACTGTCTCTTCATGGTTCTGTGTCACTAGATGGATTGAATCATTAAAGAACATTCTTTAGACCTTATTGACACCTTAAGAACCTAAGGAATCAAAGAATTAACTTACTAATTCATTTAAAAATTATCTCCTACTCCATTCCAAAAATTGTCCCATTTTTTCCTTAGGAACAAAGACATTTACTAGTAAAGGTACCGAAAAACAAAAACAAAAAAGAAAACAACAACAAAAAGTCACCTTGCAGATATATAGGTAAACCTAACAGAGTCAATTATCACTCTCTCTAAAACAGAATCACATAAATTATGACTTTTTAAATAGAACACCCAAGTAAAGAGAATAAACATGTAGTCTATAAAAATGTAAAGGCAAATAAAATGTAGGACACATTTAACCTGAAGATATAAAGAAAAAAAGACTTATTTTATTATCATTGAGCCCAATTATAATATTAGTTATCACAGTCAACAGCAGCTGGAGTTTTTAGAATTTCTAGTGCAATGTTTGTCATGCTAAAAAAAAAAATTCTGTGTGCCAATGATGTGCCAGTGAGTGTTTAAAAGGGATTCTAAAACAAAAATGAGTATGTATGTATCTGTTTGTTTTTAAATTTTACTGATTAGAAATAATATGTAACACACAACTTAAACAAAAGAATAGAAATACACAATACCCTTTACTATAATCTTATGTAGCCAATTGATTCTTACAGAATTTGTTTGTTATATTTTGTCAAAATTTTGTGTCCATTGACAACAGTTGACTCATGCATGAGTGTTGATTGATATTTTTGGATTTTAAGCTCCCAGCATGATGTCACTTAACAAGTAGCTGGGACAGGATGCCCAGTAATACACCAGTATATAGTATTTCCATCAGGTTCACATAACAGACATAGTAATCTTAAGAGCAGAGGTAATAGTAAAATGCAGCAAAATAATTAGGAAGCAATGATTACTGACTGTTTTAGATATGACTTTCATCATTGCAGGTTTATGTGATTTAATTTCTTAATAGTAACTATGTTTAACAATTGGTTCACAAGATTCCTGAAAATTTAGCAGTCGGCTCTTGCCAGATGGTATGATTGTTGGTAAGGAAAAGTTTTCAGTTATTCAACAATGCCGTTTCCATGGTGTCTCCTCCTTCAACTGAGTGGGGTTTCAGAGCTCTTGAGGATGTGAAAAGGGGGCATCCCCTGATCAAGCAAAGTATACTTTGAAACTGATGATGTCAGGGGTTGGGAGAGTTGTTCCTTTAAAATTTATTGTTATTTTTGTGATTTATTCACAGGCATTTCCCTGCATCTCAACAGGCATTTACGGTAAGCCATCTAGCTTTTGATCATGTTTATGTTTTTTTCTTTGTTGCTAAAGGTGAGGTTAACAGGAAAAATAAGAGGTTCTCTGATGGATATAGTTAGCTGTGATTTTAAAGAGACTCAGATTGCAGGTCAAATCCCATTGAGGGATCTCAAGAGGCTTTTTGGATTTCTTTGTGTCTTATTGAATCTTACATTGCATATCATTTGCAATGATTAGATGATTTGCGCTTAATGTCTTTTGTTAAATAAAAACTTTTGCTCTAGTAGGATGTGACCTCTAATAGTGTTTTCTTTAATAAAGTCAGTTTTTTTCTGTTAGATGAATCATAATCATATAAAACCTAGCATTTTCATTATTTTGTTGTGAATTACAAAATAAAAGAAACATCAAAATGCACATTTAAATTAAAAAACAAAGATGTGACTGTTAATAAAAATAGATACTTTTAATAAGATGCAAATTTTTTTCTGGTATTGGTTGTTTAAGTAGTGGCTGCTTCACTTACAGATGGAAGCAGAATGTTTTTTATAATCACTTGTTTTCACTAGCCTGAAGCTCTCTAAATATGCTTTCACCTGCAATGACATTTCCCTATGCCTCTTTCTCAAGCTGGGAATAAATCTGTTTTACGATATTCAGGTAAAATGGAGTTTGTCATTTTAGGGTTTTCTGATCAAACAAAATAGACTACGACATTTCTGAGCTCGGATTTCTCACATGGAGACTCTTAACTGAAAAATAAAATTTGTACAAATGTAAAGAAACAGTTTAAGTTCGTTATCATAGCGGAGGGACAGCAAAATTGATATCAAAGGTAGGAGTCTTATTTCCTCTTAATCTGGTATTTCGCTTGAAGGTTTTGGTGAGAATAAAGTGAAAAATATAAGCCTGCATCAAATTAAATGGTCACAGTGTTTACAAATTTAAGGCATGCCTTTCTTCTCTCTGGATTCCACCATAGCCTGCCTTTGTGGAAACACAGTGGACACTGGGCTGGTGGGCTAAGCTAGACCACCTGTACCAATCCCCATCATGGCCACTCTCTGCCTCACAGGTGCCCGGTTAGAACTCTTAAATATTTGCTTAAAGAAAGTATCGCACGCAAAGCTTTCTCCGGTCAAGAGCCCAGAGTCTTCACCTCACCTTGTCTAAAGTCAGATCAGACTCCACTGCAGAGATGGGTCTGATTTTGAGAATACTCTTTCATGACGAGCTTGATTTTCCTTGACAAAAGCAGACAAAAACCCAACTGCCGAAAAACAATACTCTGTTGTCTTGTTGATGTCTGCTTTGCCTCTGAGAACTTTATGGTCATGTACAAAGAATTTCAGAAGGTGGAATTAACACGGTGCAGTAAAAAGAGGGAGGAGTTGAAGGAAAAGGAGATAGAAAAGTAAAGGAAGATGAGGAGGGACAGTAAAACGAAAGGCTCAAGAGAGGATAGCAAACACTAAAACAGCCCTTGGTTAATTTTAGTCCCTGAAGGACAGGGATTTCCCCTGAGAGGAAGTAATATGGCTCAGTCCACAGTCACTGGGTCTGTTCTGTGCCGTGTAGGACGGGCGGGAGACACTGACGACTTGGGAAGGGCACTGGCGGACGTCACCACGGTAGGTTTGGAGGGCTGCCGCCAGGGGAGCTGTATCAGTTCTCACGATGCCAGGTCGAAGAAGGTAGTTTGCAAGTCCTGGTGACTCCTCTCTATCCCCTCCAGTTTCTGAGAAAGCTGAAAGTGAGGCTGACAACCCGCAGAGTCGGCGCCACCTTGCCTCTGCTTAGACCCACCTGATCTTGAAACCTGGATTTATTTTTAGCTCCATGAGACCTTCAGTACCATTCAGATTACTCCAGACCTCTTCCGCTGATGGACCTTTTGGCATTTTGCAACTCAAAAATCATTTCCTATGTTCGTTGTGAAACTAGCTTTCTGATCAGTCCTTGGTTCTCTCCTAAGTACTCATATTTTATAGATCAGTTGTTTTCTTGCTCTTATTCAGAATTCAGTTTTGCCTCCTCTTTTATCCAGATTAGTTTGATTTGTATCTTTGTATATTGGGATTTGAAAGAATACTTCAAAAATAAAAATGTGATCCACAGCTAAAAAGAATTTAAAAAAATAAAATAAAAGCACATAAAACTCCTGACACTTTGTAAGTCATACTAGACAGATTAAGAGCACACATTCAGGATAGCCTTCCCCTTCTTGTTCCACAGTCTAAACCTCACTTCATGAGTTTTTCCTAAAATGCCACTTGGTGTATGTTTTCCATCTGCTCTGGAGCCTTTGATCACATTCCATTAGTTGCAGGTTAACATTCACTCTTTCTAGACAGAAGGATATGCAATTTATGTATCTCCCTAAACCAGTGTTTTCAAAATTTGTGAAGAGGGGAAAAAAATCTCTTCTTTAGGATGTGAATTTCTGTGCCCCAAATTTTATATGAGCATTTACCTTTGTATCTTGAAAAGGGGGATTTAATTTGTAGAATTTCCTAAAGTTATTTGACCATTGAAATTATTATTCTCTCAACCTTTCTCAGAACTAGTGTTTTCTCCAGAATATAGTTTGAGAAATTTCTTGGCACCCACCCATCATGGACACGTTGGTTACCTACAAATGATGAATCTCAGAAACTGGCATGGACCTTCCCAGGTCCAAGTCTGTGTCCCTTCCTTATAACACATGCACAAGTACCAAACTCATACATACCCCCTCACCACCCCTGCTCTCCACCCCAATCCCCAAACAAAAACACACCACACGCACTTATATAGGTTGAAGTTTGATCTCTGAGAAATCCTCCTTGAATCGGCCAACTCTTGATAGTCATTACATCTTTTGATATCTTTCATCATTTGTAATCTGGACGATGAACACCGCCTCTTCATATTGTTCCACAGATTTTTGTTTATACATCCCACGTTCATAGCCAGTTTGGAAATTTTTCATGAGCTGAGATTCACTTGTGCATATACTATGCCCACCCAGCGCCTAGCATTGTCTCCTGGAGAAAGCTCAGGAAATACTGCTGTTTCATGGCAGTGATAATGATTATAAACC